CAAAGTACCGAAACCGAACCTTTGGAATGTAATGATGATAATGATGATGATATGAAAGATTTAAATAACGACTCGTCGTTAAAAATGGAAGATTTAACGTTAAAATTATCGAATGATGTTAATTTAAATGATTTAATAAATGAAACAAACGAATTAAAACAATTGTTACGGGTGAAAGAAGAGAAAATTAACGATTTGGAAACGGAAATAATAAATATAAATAAAGAATTGAAAAAATATTATAATTACGAGGATATAAAACGTTATAACGAAGATTTAGAATACGAATTAAATAATATAAAAAAAATAAATAAGTTATTGGAAGAAGAAATTGAATTGAGACGAGATTCGGCGGAAAAATCTCAAGATTTGGAAAAAACGTTAATAATAGAAAGACGAGCGAAAAATTTTCTAGCAAATCACGTTAAAGAATTAGAAAGGAAAATTTTAATGGAAGAAAATAAGAAAAAAATTGAAAGGAAAATAGAAAAATTAAAAAAAGAAGAAATGAATTTAATTCAAAGGAATTCGAATAAAAATTTCTACGTTGAAATAATCAATTTGAATAACGTATTAAATTTATCGAAAAAATTAATAAGAGAATTAAAAAAAGAAAATAAAATTTTGGTTGAAATTAACGATAGAGTGGAAAATGTGGAAATTAAATTTTTTAAAAATTTAATTAAAAATTTACGTGTTAAAATAAAATGTTTTAAATATTTATTAAAACCGGAAATACAAACGGAATATCATTTTCTCAATGAAAAATTTAACGGTCTCTCTATGGAAACTGATCGTTTGATTTTCGAAATAAATGATTTGAAATATTCGTTGGAATGTGAAAAAAAAAATAAAGAAATTTTAAAATGTGAATTGATGAAAATTCAACGTGAAATATCATTATATGTGACAGAAGAAAATAATGTCATGGTACAAGAATTGAAATGTAAAAATGATGAAATAGAAGAAATGAAAAAAAAATTAGAAAATGTCGAAATTAAATATAAAAATTCGTGTGAGGAAATTGAGGATTTAAAAAAGGAAAACGTGACGTTGATGAAGGATTTTAATGAAGAAAAAGAAAATTTAAATAATAAAATAAACGAGCTGGTGGAAGAATTAAACGAACATAAAAATTTAAAAAATGAATTAAATGTTTTATTGGAACAAATACAAGAACAAAAAAATATAGAAAATGAAATGAAACAAATAAATATTGTTTTGGAAGAGGAAAAGGAAACGGGTTTAAAAGAATTAACGACGGAAAAAGAAAAAATAAAATTAATGGAAGATGAAATAGAAAAATTTAAAAACGAATTAGAAAAGTTTAAAAATATGGAAAATGAAAAAAAAAATAATTTGGAGAATATAATTGAAAATCACGAAAAGACTTTGGAACTTAAAGAAAATAAAGAAAATGAATTATTGATTGAAATTGAAAATTTAAAAAAAAATTTAAACGAATACGTTGATAATTTAACGGAAAGTAAAAAACAAGAGGAAAATTTAATCGGAAAATTGGAAGAATCGGAAAAAAGGTTTAAATGTCAAGAGGATGAAATGAAAAATATGAAAGATGTTTGTGCGGTTTTAAATAATGAAATAAATAAAAAAAATTCGGAAATCCAAGTACTCAAATCGAGATTGATGGAAAAAAATAAAAGAGAGGAAAATTCGGAAAATGATATAAACGTTAATTACGAATTAGAAAAAAATTCATCTTTAAATGAAAAATTCGAATTGGAAGAAGCATTGAGAAAAATGGAAAACGAATTAGATGAAATTAAATTAAAATTAAAAGATTGTAAAGAAATGGAAGATGAAATTACATCGCTTAAAAATAAAAGGGATTCCCTGTTGGAAAAATCAAACAATTCGGAAAACGAAATAAATTTGTTAAAAAATAAATTAATCGATTATGATAATGTTAAAAATGAATTGGAATTATTGAAAAATAATATCAAAATCGATTCGGATTCCGAACAAAAATTATATAACGAATATTTAATTTTACAAAAAGAATTAAATGACGAAAGAGAAGAAATTGTTAAATTAAAAGAAAATAACGAAAACCTTCAAAACGATTTGTTAAAAGCAGAAAACTTATTGGAAGTATCTAAAAAATTACATAAAAACGTTTCACAAATACAAATAATGTCGTCTTCTGCTGAATTTTTCACTCCTCCGACACTTCCATCACCCAAATCCTCACAAAACGATAACGAATTCGAATGCGTTATATCAATGAAAATACATAAAAAAGAATTAAACGATTTGGAAAATGATTTTAAATTAAAAATAAAAAAATTAAAAGAAAGAAATGCGAAAAAAGTTAAAAAACTCACGGCCTTCCATGAAAAAGAAGGGATTTGCAGAACGAAAGCTTTTCACGAAAGTATTAATAGTATTAAATCGAGTTATGAAAACGGTATAAGAAAATTAGTTGAAAAACATAAGATAAGCATAACGAAGCTGCAAGAATTACACGAAGAAGAAGTCGAAGAATTGAATAAAAATACGAAGTACAAATGGACGCCATGGAAAAACAAAATAAGGAATTCATTAGAGAAATGAAATTGGATTCCGCGGAAAAGAGTAAAAAAATGACGGCCGAACATAAAAAAGAATTATTAGAAATGGAAAAAAAATACGAAGATTTATTAAAAGAAAAAGATATACAAATTCAAACTGCGAAATTATCCGTTGAATCATCCGTTACTCAAAACACGAACGACATGCAAGAAGTTCACAAGAAGGCGGTGGAAAGTTTAACGGAATTTTATAAAAAAAGCATGTTGGAATTGGAAGAAAAACATTCGAAAGAATTAAACAAATGTAAAAAAATTAATTTAAAAAGAACGGAAATTATGAAAAATAAATATGAAGATTTACTAGCAGAAGAAAGGAAAAAATACGAAGAACAACTTGAAGAAATGCTTAACAATTTAAAAAAAGGTAAATTATAAAAAAACAATGAAATTTTTGTGACGCCATATTAGAAAAACGTAACCGTTAAAATTTTTTCTTTTCTTTTTTCTTTTAGGTCATCGAAATAATTTAATTATAAAAAATAATAATAATAATAATAGTAACAATAGTAATAATAGTAATAATAATAATAATAATAATAATTTAATAAATAAAACTAAAAGTCCGGCCAGTCCTAGATTACATTTTCTTGAAGTTTTACAAAAAATAATCAATGAAGGATTGGAAGTGAGTACAAAAGAACAAAATCACATTCAAATAATATAGAATAAAGTGTAATAATATTAAATAATTTTTTTTTTTATTTCAGTCTTTAACCTTTGAAGAACTTATATTGGTTCATAGCAAGACATGTTTTTCACCAGAATGTTCATCAGATCATGATGAAAGAGGAGGTGGTGAATTTGACAGAATCGGTGATGAATGTAAGCATAAAGTCCTGATGAATGCTAAAAGAGAAGATTTATTAAGAAGAATATTCACGCTGGAACGTGAAATTGTTATAAAGCAACTGGAAACACACGAAGCGAGTAAATATTAACAATAAATCAATAAATAATTTTATTTTATTTCCTTTAACGTCGGTTATTATTTATTACAAGTTGTTAATATGGAAACGGCAGAAAAATATAGAATACAAGAACTTAAAAATGCATTGTCAGAAGCACGACAAAAAAATTCCGAATTGAGAAAAATTATATCAAATCAAACAAAATACAAAATGGATGACAAAATAGAAAAATATTCAATAATTGAGGGTCAGGATTCGGGAAATCTACCCAACGACGAGTCCGACGAAAGGTTAATACTACAATTAACACATTATTATCATCATTATTATCTATAAACCTACAGGAGTTTTTATTTTTTTTTGACAAATAGAAAAGATGTAGAAATTAGTAGTACAGCAAAAGATAAAAAATTATTAGAAGAAGAATTGAAAAAGGAAAAAGAAAATGTTAAATATTTAAAAGCGTTTATTGAAACGGAAAAGGAAAAGCATAAAACTCAAAGGAAAAGAGATTCGGATTACGTCGAAGTTAGTCACAGCTATTATCATTATTATCATTTATCACTCTCAATTAATTTTAAATTTAATTTTTAATTAAAAATAATTTTTTTTCCTTCAAGTCGATAAGATTAAGATTAGAAGAAGCATTAAATCACGAACAAATAATGGAATCGCAATTGGAATACGAAGCTAAATTCAGAGCTAAATTAGAATACGAATTGCAATCTTTACAAAAAAGTTTTAATCTTATAACGGATTTACCTTTTGGTACTTTACCCGTTGATTCAAAGGTATTTTCGTTCAATAATAATAATAATAATAATAATAATAATAAATAATAAATAATAATAATAATAACGAATAACACGCGTTTGTTTCAGGCCGTTAAGGATTTAAAAAATTTTGATCAGTGTGATATAACAAACAAAGAAGAATTACAAAATAAAACTAAAAGTAGGCATAAAACCTTTAGTGGAAAAGGTCTTAGTAATTATTGATGATAATAATAATAATAATAATAATAATAATAAAAAACAAGAGAAAAAAAAAAAATTTAGAAAAACTTTCCTTTAAAAACTAAATTTTTATTTTATTTTATTATTATTATTATTATTATTATTATTATTATTATTATTATTATTTAATACGTGAATACGCACGCGCATATATATGTATATGTAAGTGGATTTATTATCATTATTATTATTATTATTATTATTTAATTTTTTTTTTACACCGTTCGATTAAAAAAAAAAAAAAATGTAATGTAATGTGTAAATGTGCGAGAGTGCGCGTGTTCGCAAGAAAAAAAAAAAGAAAAGTCATTTCCGTTTTCTTTTTAATACTTCCGTTATAAATACGATTAGATTTAAGAAATTTATTTTTGATAATTTTTTTTTTTTTTTTTTATACGCTTATAAAATTATTATTGTACAATTATTATTTATTTATTTATTTTTAATTTATTTTTCTTTTATTTTTTTATTATTTTTTTTTTTAAATAAAACGTATTATGTTATTAAAAAAAAAAAAAAAAGAAAGAAATAATTTTAATTCGACACTTACCTCCATGTTGATTTCCGCCATTTTGATTTTCGCCATTTTGATGACGTAACAATTACGTATTGCTTACGTAACATTCGGTTCCCGCCATTAAATATATATTTAACGGAAATGATATCTATTATTGAACATACATCCGTGATTACGTATATTAAATTACGTCATCGTTGATTTTTCCTTCTTAAAAAAAAATAATAATAATAATTAAGGTAATAAAATACACAATAAAACAAAATAATAATAATAATAATAACAATAAATATTAATAATTTTTTTTTTTAATTTGATTAAATAATTTTTTTTTTTAATTTTATTCATTTTTATAATTTAACAAATTATTTTTTCAGCAGCAACATTTATTAAATAAATCAATCAATAAATCAATAAATAAATAAATAAATAATATATATATATATATATATATATATATATATATATATATATATATATATATATATATATATATATATATATATACATAATATTTTCGGGCAATAAATAAATAAATAAATTTATTTATAAATTTAATTTAAAATGATAATTGATTCAAAATTTTAACTCGAAGCGTTTTTTTTGTACTATTTACCTAAAAAAAAAAAATTAAAATTTTTAATAAATAAATAAATAATAATAATAATAATTAATATATTTATTAAAATAAAAAAAAGAGTATTTGTAATTAAATGTAAATCTTTTTTAATAATAAAAACAAAATAACCGAAAAGAATTTGTAACAATTAAAACAAAATAAATAAATAAATTTTCCATCGGTTATATTAACATAATTATATATTTATGTATTTATGTATGTATATATATATATATCATCTAAATTTTTGAGTAAATTTTTTGTTTTTTTTTTTTCCTAATTTTTTTTATTTATTTTTTTTACACTAAAATTTTGTATAAATATATGTAAATAACAGATTGGCAAGTGCACAGCGCTTATTTAAGTTTTATTTATTTATTTATTTATATATATAATATATATAAATATTAAAATTGTACTCTCTTATTGATATCGATTATTATTATTATTATTATTATTAATAATTTTTTTTGCGCTCTGCTTTTATGCGTTTTATCTAATATATATATAAATTTAAAGGCATAAAATTTTTTATTAATATTTTAATAAACAAAACAAATTTTTATTTTTTAAATTAAAATAAATAAATAAATAAATAATAATGATAATAATAATAATATCTACTTTTATATAGGCAAAAAGCATTTATGATATTTAATAATATCGTTTTCCCCTCCCCCTTCCCACCCCCCGATGCGTTTTGTTTTTTTTTTTTTTTTTTTTTGTTTTTTAAAATAATTTTTCTAAAAAAATAATCTAAAATTTTTTTTTGTTTCTATTTATTTATTTTTTTCATTATATATTCAATCTCTTTATTATAAATAATAATAATAATAATAATAATAATAATTAATGCGTATTTATAATGCCTGTCATTAATTAATTAATTATTTAATTATCCGATTTTTTAATTCGGTTTTCTTTTTTTTGGGCTCGCGATTGACTTTCGTTCATTTTTTTTTATTGTGATAACGTTTCATGTTGTTATCATCGTTCGAATTTCCTTTTTTTTTAATATTTATATTTATATTATTATTTATATATATTTACTTAATGATAATAATAACAAAAATAAATTAAAAAAAAAAAACTAATCGAATTTGTTTT